TTTTTCACATAGATCTTCATGTGTTGAGAAAGCCGTTTGGAAATCTGAAGGGTAGACCCTGGTTGGGATTGCCCATCTTTTTGGATAACAGAAGGGCTTTTTAGTAGTTTAACGCTATCAAAAGTGTAGGCATGTTTACATCTAAGGCAGGTAAAAAGTTTTATTGTTAGTTAGAAATTGCAGATAGTTAGTGATCTGGGAACCAGAAAATGGAGGATTGTTATTTCAGGAACAACTGCAGGCCCATAGCCAGCAATTTCATAGAGAGGTTCTTTTTTGGAAAAAAAAGTGGACCTTTTACCATGAAATCCTCATGTACCTACTAGTATATCAAATTTTATCTAGAGCAGACTTTTTCCTGACAAAAAAGACAGTTCCTTCACCCCCAAGCCCCCCTTGAACCATCCCTGGCTACGGACCTGGACTATGAATAAAAGTCATTTTTTTTATTAGTAACTTACTTTGATTTGTCTTAAAATGAAATTCAGTGTAAGTGTGTTAATTGTCTGTTGTAATTTGTAGTTTTATGCTGCCCACCTGCAGTAGATGACTATTACAACACATCTGTAAGACTAGGGCATAGGTAGAGCAAAGGCCACATTAATAAAAAAAAAATTAGTTATATTAATATGCAGCTGTGGAACAATGGTTAAAATTTTATAATGTAAAAAATTATATTATGTAATTAAAACGATAATTCTAGATAAGTTTCTTTGTTGGGAAATTACCACCTTAAGTTAACTAAATCACATTTTGATGAAGCATGTACATGTATTTTCTTCAGTGCAATGAAATATTACCTATTTATGAAATTTAGTGTACCATTAAACCATACTGTTTTTATTTGTATCAGGCCCAGCACAAGGAGGGGAAGCAGTTTGCAGCCTTGAAGAAAGTGGAGCTCAAAAATGAAGAAGACCTGGAGGATTTCACAGTGGAAATTGACATCCTCTCAGAGTGCAAACATCCCAATGTTGTTGGTTTATATGAGGCTTTCCTATGGGCTGAACATCTTATGGTAGGTTCTTCAACCAGGGGACCCCATTTCAAAAAGCTGTCTTTGGTTAACAGCTTCTTGTTACTGGGTTTTCTTACTGAATATCTGCTTCAAATATATCCTAGTAAGTTAATGTAGTGTACAGCAGTGTTAAAATTACAAAAGTTGTCAACTACTAGTGGCTTCAAGAAATGGGTTCCAGGGTTCAATCAGTAGGATATTTTGAGAAAAGTGTTAATTTGCGTTATTAACATGGCAGAATTAACCGATGTAATAATGAACTAATCTTTTTATCTATGCACAATGCACATAGTATTGGTAATATTATTATCAGTGTAGTAATGGAAGTTACTAGTGCACTCATGTTCACCTATAAATGTTCATGTAAAGTGCATGTGGTTCTCATACGACATTTATTGTAATGATGCATATTTGTAATATTACATATGATAAATGTAATTGTAATCATTATTTATTGTGTCACATCTACAAAGATATTTTTTGAATTTTTATTTATTTTTTATTTTATTGTTATTGTTTTTTTTTTGTTTTTGTTTTTTTTTTTTGGGGGTGGGGGGAGTGTTAGTAAGAAAATTTTCATCTGTGTACAAGCAACACATTTTGCCTTCACAAATTATCTTTGGATAAAAAATTTATGATTGTTATGTCCCAGTTAGGGACACCATCTGTAAATTATTACAGTTTTTACAACAAGGATGGTGCCTGTACAGTGGGCTCTAGACACAGAAAACTTTTTATGTGCCCTGGTCCTAAAATTATCATAAATTCTTGAGCAACCATTCTACTTGCCCTTAATGACAGAAAAACAATGCCAAGTCTGTCGGTGTCATTCTGTAACCAAGGTTATCTGTGACCTGTTTACACCGTGGGAACTGGATCATACATGTCAAAAAAACTACAGTAGAAGCAAGGCTGTTTTGTAATATAAAAGAAATATACACAGTTAAAATGAGAGAATTGAGGATCCCCATTTTTTTTTACCAGGTACACACTTAGCTTGCCCAAATAACTAACCCTTTTTTTCAGTTGTTTAGTTGGATACTGTAAATGTGACTTAAGTAACTGTTATCATCTTAAGAGTTGCTCTGACTTCAGCCCCTGATTAATTTACTAGATATATATGGTGTAATCAATGTTTTGTCAATGCTAATAGAATTGTGATGCTCAAGAGTATGAAATGCAATTATCTGGACCTTTAGGGGAGATTTCAGCTGTTGTGATTGAATTTTGAAATGGAAATATCTAACTTGTAGTTGTCAGGTTTTAATGAATGAAGTTCTGCTTTTATTCTTAACTTAAGTAACTCTGTCATGCACTATTTTTCAATTAAAAGAAATAAGAGTAATTCGTACCAATTTATGTTTTGTTAATAAACCATGTTTATTTAAGTTTACAACAAAACATGGTTTCGGAATGATTTTATATACAAAAAGATATGAAGTTGCATAAGAAATAACTTAATACCAAAAATTAATTGTTTTAATACAGTCAGATTAGATCAAATCCATTCCATTGCTGAATGTACCTGTTGTCCTGCAAAAGATGTGTTTTCTGAAGCATTTGCCTACTGTGTCAGAAAACTGTCAGCTAGACAGTAGGTTTGTATCCCCATGCATGGATGGGTTGTTGTACTGGGTAGCTAGAGACCCAAACAATACACACTCTTTGTAATGCTAAAGGGCACATCGATGCAATCTGAGAGCAGTTCTGAACTATTTTTGGGATGGCCTAATCTGTACACAGGTCATATAGGTAGTTGATTGCATTACATCACCCACAGTACATAGCATGAAGTGAAGAAATCAGTCAAACTTGTAATGAAAGTGGACTGCATTTTGGTTATCCTAAGGAATAAATGAAGCAGGGTGGAAGCAAAATGTGGTCATTGATTACATACACTTTGTGTAGATAGTGTGGTGTAAGATGCTAGGAATCAATGGCAGCCACAGTCCCATATAAAAACAAGTTTGATTTCCTTCATGGCCTTGGGCAATAACCTACACGTCCTGGACAAGGATTGTAAGAAGAGCAAAGAAAAGTGTTGCAAGCCAATAAGTTGCCTGTAAAAGAGTTCAATTGCAAACAGTTTAGACATTTAAGAAAAATGATTATTAAGACTGGCAAGATATTCAAGTCAACTTAGAAGTCATTTGTGTTCCATCCAGGTGTTTGTTTAATCATATACATTACAGTACATTGTATGATATAACTGTAACATATATCCTGCACACAATGGGTGCAGGTTACCAAAAGAAAGGATCATGAATATTTCAAATTTAGTTCAATACTTCTTCTGTTCATTCTTTGCAGGGTTTTTTTTAATTCAATAAAGTCCACAAGGCTTGTAGTTTTGACAAGTCACACCTAACACATTGTCACAGTATATGGTAGACATATGGTTTGGTTGACAGTGATACATAATATATTGGACTGCTTTTGAATATGGTGTTATGATTAACGCAAGCTGTAACATGTTTTTAAAAAGTAGCAGAACTCGCAGCTCTGATGATTTTCACATCTTTCTGCCCATTGTTAAGTAAAGCTCTGAAAAGCAAATGAATGTAAATTAATTGTTTTAGTCTGTATATGCTAGTTATCTTGATGCCTGTCTTAACAGCCCGGGAGCCAAACATAATGGTACCTACAAACTGTGTCATATAAATTGTGACAGAATGTCATTCCAGAATTCACAGAAGCAATGAGTATTGAATGATATCTTGTTAGTGCCTGATTTGACTGCATAAATAAAACTACTGTTGGTAATTACATTGTCATGTTAGACAACCCTTCATGATGCCTTCTGTCTAAATTTTGTAAATTATAAAACAGCCACGCAGTACTTTGGCTTTGAATTCAGTCAAGTTTATTGGTTGTGTGAAGTTGAACAATTGAAACATTTGTGAGAAAACAATGATCTTTTTTCTATGTTATATTTTAAATGACAAGCAAGATTTAACAGATATTGCATAGGTCTTAATCAGTTTAAATTTTGAAGCATAGCGTATATATAATATTATCTTTCAATTTCGAATTTATTCTTTACTGATAGCCCACCCACATCATGCTTTGTTCCTAGTATTCTCCACTTGCCAAAGCTACTCATTTCTTCTTGCCCATTGACAAAAAGGGCAGTAGAGTTTCCGCTTTAGCTAATTAATAAAAACAGAAATCTTTAAAAGGTTTATCAAGTAAAGAAAAAGTTTGGAAAACACAGTGGTAATATTGTGGAAGGTCTCTTGATTAAGTTGTGCATGGAGCATACAGTGCCAATTTGCTGCATTATTGGCTAGTTTATTTGTAGCAGTCTCCAAGCAGTTAGAAATCGATACAACTTATCTGTGTGCCACACAATTTCCCCAAGTCATTACAGTGAGTGATAGAGATGTTGGAGAAGTCATAAATTGTGAAAAGTCAGAACCCATGAAAGAGTCTAAAGAAACCATATTGTGTTTTTAACACCCACATGTACTGTCTATGAGAATAACAGATGGGGCATTTGTCTGTTTTAAGGCAAACTGGATAATGTTATATGTTGCACATTGTTTCATCTTGAAATTGAACAGAACAGAGCTGTTTACTAGCCTTAACATTGTGATGTATGTAGATCTATGCACTATATTTTCGTTATGTTTGATTTTTAGTCATCATACTGACATATATTTATACACCAGTATAATTTGTTACTAATCTTCTCTCATGCTTTATTTTAAATGACAAGTGCTCTGTTTATGATGAACAGAAGTGACTTGCATTTCAGGGCCCTTTGTTTAATAATTTAACTAAAAAAATTCAATTATGAAAACAAAAGTAGTAATTTTAAATGTTTATATATTTCAGATTTACATAGAATTTTGTGCTGGCGGCGCAGTTGACAGTATAATGTTAGAGCTAGAAAAAGGCCTGAACGAGACTCAGATTAAAGCCATAACACATCAGATGTGCCAGGGGCTGAAGTTCCTCCATGAGAATAAAGTAATCCACAGGGACTTGAAGGCAGGGAATGTGTTATTAACACTGGAGGGCCAGGTTAAGCTGGGTGAGTGAAACGTGGTTGATAAATGGGATTAAAAGTATCAATCAGTAAAACAATACATTAATGGCTGTTTGCAAAATTTATTAACAATAGGTTTTTTAATGGGGTCACTTTGTGAAATAGATGTGAAATTTAGTGCCTGAAATATGTGTTTGATACCGAATAATCTGTAGATGCATATTTCTCTCTCTCTTTTCTTTCAGCTGATTTTGGTGTGTCAGCTAAGAACACCAAGACGAGGCAGAGAAGAGACTCTTTTATTGGAACACCATACTGGTAAGCTGGTGTAGGGGAATACATTTTTCTAATGCCAATTGTTACTGTAAGCAAGTATTGTAACCATTAACATTAATTTCAAAATGGACCCATTTTTCAGTAAAACATCATATATAGACGTGCATTTAGTGAACTGTTTTTGATTGTGTTTCATTTTTTTCTAGGATGGCCCCAGAAGTCATCCTTTGTGAGACTTACAAGGAAAACCCATATGACCACATGGCTGATGTTTGGTCTCTAGGTCAGTACTTGAGTGCCGTCAGGTGTCAGTGAATGGGACTGGTGTGGTATTTTAATGTGGGCTGTAAAAGCACATTCAGATTTTTTTGCGTAATAAGAAGGCAGATTTTGTGATTGATCTTGTGACTTCTGTATGAAATATTTGAACAACTGGCCCTAGTAGTTTGTAAGGTTCATTGTAAATATTATTTTAAAGGACTTTCAAATAGCTAGGTATTTGATATGTCTCTGCAGGTTGCACTATGATTGAGTTTGCCGAGATGGAGCCACCAAACCATGAGATGCATCCAATGAGAGTTCTTATCAAGATCCAGAAAAACGACCCTCCTACATTACTTAACAGAAAGAAATGGTAAGATATCCCCCCAAATCATTGTTACATTAATAAAACTTGATATGCATTATTCACTTACCAATATCTAGCTGAAACAATCAAATGGCTATTTTTGCATCTGGGACATGCAGGCTTACTGCTGAAGGTATTGAGATCATAATTTATGGAATAATTTCAGGGTTTTGATATTTCAGTGTGATATTGATAAAGTTTGACTATCTTGCAATGGTCATAAAATTGTAAAGCTGAAGTCATAAAAATATAAATGGATATATAAGTACGGTATTGTATCAGTCGTTATAGATAAATTTATAAAACATGATTTTTACCTCTTTTCAGGAGCAATGAATTCCATGACTTTCTTTCCAAATGCTTGGTGAAGAATCCAGAACACAGAATGAACATGGAGCAACTGCTGCAGGTAAAGTGAAAGTCATTGATAAATCAGTTTGTAAAAGAATTCTTCAAAATTTGTTCTTGATATGATATGCTGATAGTAAGCAAGACGTTGTCTTCATCCCACCTGTCCCAACACACATTCTCTCTCTCTCTCCCTCTCTCTCTCTCTCTCTCTCTCTCTCTCTCAACATTTGCTTTCTATTCTAGCATGTTTTTATCAAAGATGCCACAGACATCAAACCAATACGTGACCTGGTGGCTGAGGCTAAGGCAGAGGTTATTGAAGAGGTGCAGGACCTGGATGAGGAGGAGGAGATCAAGGTATTGTGATGCTTTGTCACACCTAACACATTATAAGATAAGTGACTTTCCACATGTTATAAGAAGGAACAACTGTTGCATAAATCAGAATTACAGTATGTCATGATGTATCTTATTAATTCCAAAATCATTCATCACTGAAGCTGTAAAATTCACACAATATGTCACTTTAACCCAATCATGTTTTGTGTCTATTTGTCATTGTCACACTTTGCCAAAACTAAGTTGTCAGCAGTGTTAGATAAGTGCATAATGGAATGCCATACTGGGAATATAGGCAGTTCCTTTACTTCCTGTGAGAGGCTGGTAATCTGTTTATAGATGTAGAGCAACATGTTAATCTATATGTATCTATAACAGCTGATATTAATGTGATCAGCTAAACTGTTTCCTTTCAGGGTGGAGATGAGGACACTTTATCTATGGATGACATACTGGAGTTGGAAGAAACAGAGGTCATGACATTTCCCATGATTGAGTTTTTGACTTTTCCCCCCAAGTCTAATCTATGTCTTCATTTACTTTGCAGCAGCTTGTGCTTTCAGGTGTAGGGGAGCAAGCTTTATGTTTATCTCCAGTCAGCAGTCCAATTCATTTATGTTGTAACTTTTGAAACCATGCTCATCAGTCTGGTACCAATACCCAAGTTTATTTTAATATGTATATATTTACATTGTCTGGAAAACTTTACTCTGTGCTAAGAATATTTAGAGTTTCCAGTAGATTAGAGCAAAAGACACACTAGCCTCCCATACCACAGTGCTTTCCTGGTGATGCATAATACTCTAGCGTTCTTCTATCTCTTCTCTGCATATATACACATATACACACGTGTACATACAAAAAAAGAAGTTGAAGAGTAAAGAGTAATGCATGCTGACAAAAGCTTTTGCATGGAAACTGAATATTAGAAATAGTATCCATTATGCCCATAGGCTTTTCAAGTATACAATCATTCCCATGACTGTGTTTCTATGTGACTTACAATAGATATTACGTCTGCGTCATTTCTTTATTTATTTTGCACACATTCTCATATCTTCAAAAAGCTGAGATTTAATATCATGGCAAATGAGATTAATACCCAGATGTACTTGCATTACATATAGGCAAAGTGATTACCGAGGGTTGTATATTTGAATAGTTCACATTTAAGGTAGTTATAATTTAAAAGGGACTTTCCAAGAAAAAAGTTATAAGGTTGTTTGAAAAAAATTTCAACAGAAAAGTTTCTAAAATTCAAAAATACACCCCACTAAACTTATTATCTATAGACTGGTTCCATGTGTAAGTTTTCGTGAGAAAACGGTGATTAGGCCATACTGTTGACTTAAATCCAAATTTAACACATATGATGAATCATTGGACATACTTTGTTCTTTTTAGGCTGTGCCTAGAGACACTGATTCAGACACTAACTCCATCGGGGATGTCTCAAAGATATCTGAAGACTTGGATAGAGAATTTGAGAAACTTGATGAGGAAGAGAGGGTAGGTTTTGTGTACACTTTAAACTTTTGACAAGGATCTTGAAACTCCTAGAAACACTGAAATTAATAAGATTAATAGAATGGGTTATGGTATAGTTATTCTTAATCTTATGTCATAATCCTTGTACTTTATTTATTAGTTTCACTTCCATATGATAACTGTAAATGGGTATTGACGATAACATAAATCATTTAAGTTCTGTCTTAGAGTGAGTATTATTGTCGTCTGGTTTATTAGCTTAATTTTTTGTAAGTTTAGCTTGAAAAGATTCTTTACCTAAAACAGAATGCAGTTTGATTTTATAACATCTGTGGTGGAAGGGAACATTAATCCATTTTCTTTTCACACTGTATCACTTTGCTGAGATTGCATCGGCAGTGTGACTGCTTTCTCAACTAACACATTGCCCTCCTTTGCTTTCACAACAGAGCTCTCAGTCCTCCATCACTCCTAGAACGCCCTCTCCCTCCCCAAGGGAGGTGACACCTTCCCCTAGAGAAAGCCCTGAGGTGGAGGTGCCTAAAGAACCTAGTGGTGTAGAAATAACAGAAAAAACTGATCAGCCAGCAGGCGAAATAACAAACTTTGAGAATGTAAAAACCGACGAAACCACCAAAGACAAAAATGAGGCTTTAGAAACTGTTGAAACCAAAAATGACACCTCAGAACCTGTTGAAATTAAAGACAATGATGAAGGAGTGGTAGAGGTAGATAAAGAAAGTAAGGGAGAAGTTCAGAAAGAAGAAGAACAAAGAGAACAAGATGATAAGAGGTCTATGGATGAAGGTATTGGTGCAAGCAGCAGTGAGAAGTCAGTTGTGTCAGTTGATACTACACAGGTAAATTGGAGGACAACTAGCCAAGGAAGGAGCTTCTTATCTAACAGTTTCTTATCAGTTAACAAGAAATATCTATTGACATAGTATCAAAAGTAGCAGCTTAACTTATGGTACATTTTATATAGAACCAAACTGCATGCTTCACATTCCTTGGTTTTCAATTCCTTTTTAATTGCTGTTTTATTGTTTGTAATGTTTTATCTAATTTATATTCATCATATTGTGCACTTTTATTTTGAAGTTTTTATGTACAGACACAGATGTGTCTGTACATATTGCCATCACCTGCGTCTGTCGTCACCGTCGCCGATCATGTCGCCGTCGCCGTGCACTTTCAGCGTTAACACCATAAGTGGAAGACGGTTTTACTTTTTGGCCTAACATTTACAGAGCTGACTAATATTCATAAAACACAGGTCAAGTTCGAAAATCAGCATGATCGGGCCATTATTGTAGAATTTATGCTGTTTTTTCACTTTTTAGCATATATACAACACTGTTAACACATTTCAAGGAAGACAGATAGGCCTGTTGTCATGAAACTCACAGGAGTAATCAATCTTACTAAAACGCAGGTCAAGTTCGAAAATCAGCATGATCGGGCCACTATTTTAGTAGTTATGCTGTTTTTTTCACTTTTGAGCATATGTGCAACACTGTTAACACATTTCAAGGAAAACCGATAGACCTGTTGTCATGAAACTCACAGGAGTAATTAATCTTACTAAAACGCAGGTCAAGTTTGAAAATCAGCATAATCGGACCATTATTTTATAAGTTATGCTGTTTTT